CGGTCGCTTGCTGGTAACTAAAACAGATTTGAAATGGTTCCTTCATTATAAAGAGATATCAAAATCTTCAGAATGAAGAAATTTGTAAGCATATGTTACCCTTAACTTTGGATTGCATGGTATCTTTTCAAAAAATAGACCCATCTCCTCCTTACAAAGATCTGCCTCCTATCTAATTACTATATATAAAGGATGCACCATTCCATATATTTCATACGTCTCTTTTTTTTTCTTCAAATGTTTATATTTTTTAATTCAATTTTGAGTGATATATTTCCATAAAAACACATTTCGAATAGATGTAACTTATCTCCAAATTCATCAGCATTTCTTGTGATAGCCATGATTAACTCGGTTTTTAATTATCCATGCAAGGGTTAGAATTAGTGGTATTTTACTATTTTTAAAATATAATCCTTCTTATATTCATATCTGGTTTTTAATTGAGTCAAGTCAAAGCAATCATACCACTACGCCACGAAGTCAATGAAATCGGATGGATAAATTTTAGACGAATTACTGAATCTTAAAATAATATGAGAAGACAAATTAAGTACATTTTTTTCAATATGAAGACCACCTTTAACAAAATTATCTATATGTAATGAAGTGTAGCAATATATGAATAAAATAATTCATGAGCTGTTTTTGTTTTTAAAGCTCAACATGATTTGATAAAGGAATGTATCCACCATTTTTGATCAGAGAATCGCTATACCTGCAGACCCCATATAAAGGGCAGGACTTGGTCACTGTTCAGTGTAATCAGTTAACACCGATGTAGATGGACGTATGGACGTGAGCTTGAAATAGAAAATACCATAGAGTCTGACAAATCTGTTTCATACTTGGATGTTTTACTTGAAAAAGACGATAATGGTAATCTAACAACCTAGCTTTATGATAAACGTGATGACTTTAACTTATCTATCGTCAACTTCCCTTACTAATGCAGCAATATACCTTCATCACGTGCACACGAAGTTTATATATCTCAGTTGATTCGATAAGCAAGAGCTTACTCTACGTATGAACAATTTCTAAAACGAGGTAAGTTATTGACAAGCAAGTTGATGAAACAAGAATATCAGCCGTCTCGTTTAAATTCATCATTTCGTAAGTTCTATGGTCGATACAATGACCTTGTCAACAAATACAATTTATCACCGAGTCAAATGCTGGCTGATGTGCGGATGTGACCGGTCAACAGGGGATGCTCACTCCTCCATGGCACCTGATCCCGCCTCTGGTGTTTCGGAGGTCCATGTTTGTTCTGCTCTTATTATGTTCCCCAAACGAAGTTAGGGAACATATTGTTTTTACTCTGTTTCTTATTATTATTATTATTATTTTTCTTCTTCTTCCTGGGTACTTTTTTGTCCGGGAATGATCTTGTAAACTGTTCGTCCGAGGTAGGTAAAACCTTTTTAGGGTAAGTAGACATGTTATGCAGATATGCGGAATCAAGGTCATTTTGCGCGCACGTGCTTGCAAGAGCGCGCACGTGCAACACTTGAAATAACCAATATAATAGATATAGTCGGAACTTTTCTATTTTTTGATAAAATGCTTTGAAACTCATAATGTAAGGATACATTAGTAGTATAGACAAGATGGCATGGTCAAAATAGCAAGATCTCACGCGCATGCACGTGCGCTTTGCTCTGATTGGCTGAAACTAAAGTCTCAATATCTTTCTTGTTTCTTGTCATAATCTTTTGAAATTTTGAACATGGTCCTACATTATGAAGATCTACAGCATGATATATTAAAATTTGAATAAAAGCATGCGCATGCGCGCGTGCTGTAATCTGATTGGCTAAAACTTTAAATGGCTATATCTCCTTTGTTTTTTGACGAAATGCTTTGAAATTTAAAACATAGTCATGCATTACGATATCCTAAAATATGATTTAGAAAATATTCATGAAATCACGCGCATGCACGTGTGCTGCAATCTGATTGGCTGAAACTTCAAATGGCTATAACTGTCTTGTTTTTCAACCAAACAGGATGGGATTTAGAACTTGGATAAATATAAGGGACTCCTACAAGAAGTAGTAGTCATTATGCACGTGCTTGCACGTGAAATGAGTAAAATAAAAAATACACTCGAATGAGTGCTTTTTTTAATACTTTTGGATTAAATGCTTTGATATTATTGAAATTTTAGATAGTGTAGACAAGATAATATGGTCGTTACGCACATGAACACGCGTGCAATGCCTATTTTTTAAATATATTTTGTATTTTTCTTGGAAGACCTTGATTAAGTCTAAATTCCATAAAGTATTTCTTATTTAATAGAGATAACAGGGAATATGGCACCAAAAGGGAGTTGGGGAGCGTTTGGGGAACATCTGTAACGGTCCCCGTTACAATTAGCACTAGTTTTGTATTGTTTTATGGACTTTCAGATTGAATACTGTTCGTTATCTCCATATCCTTCAAACAGCACTCGGTAGCAACAATAATAACGTAATACTTCGTTTGATGCAGGAAAGTAATATACCAAAGGAACTTACAATTATAGCTGTAATGGTCAGTGCAGTATACAAACAAACACAAAAACACTTAACTGCAATATAAAATGTAAACAAGCAAATTCAAAGAATTCTGGTCCGCCGCTTTCGGTGTCTTTGTGGGTGAGATGTCAAATTTGAACGTCATATTATATGTCATTTAGAAATCATCACCAAATTGATTTTTTAAATAAAAAACATACGGTCAATCGTGATGTGATTGCCGAGGCATATGAAAGCCTTATTTAATTTAATCAATATTTTATTATGTAAAGTAAGATTACATATTGGATTGGACATCAGGCATGGCCTATATAAGTCCTCTCCAAAAAAAGCCCTGTGAAAGCCCTATCTCTTCTCAAACAAAAGTTAAAAGGAACGAAATGCATTTGTGAAACACTGATGAACCCGTACGGCAACTAAGCTTAAACTTCTCTTAAATGCACATTAAATATATTGGTACCCAAATTTTCAAAAACAGTAGGTCGAACTCCAAGGTCAAGGTAAAAGGGTCAAAGTTCTTGGTATCCAATGAAAGGTCTTTTTACAAGAATTACGTATGTAAAGTATGAAAACCGTAGCCCTTACCATTCAAAAGTTATGGCCAAGGCTAATATTTTTTTAAAAAGTAGGTCGAACTCCAAGGTCAATGTTAAAGGGTGTAAGTGCTTGATATCCAATGAAAGGACTTGTCAAATAAATTTAATATTTGATGTATGAAAGTCGTAACCTTAACCCTTCAAAAGTTATAGCTAAGAGGAAAGTTTTTAAAAAATGGGTCAAGGTCATCAGATCAAATTTCTTGTTATCTTATGAAAGGACTTCTCAGAAGGATTACATACGTAAAGAATGAAAGCCCTAACCCTTACCGTTTTAAAGTTATGGCCAAGGCTAGAGTTTTTCCTTCTTTTTGTCACACCGTGCTCTCTTAATTGTTCAGTGAAACTTGAGTTTGTGTGGGCATTTCCAAGCTCTTGGAATTGGCCTTGGTAGGGCTTCAATAGTTTCCTAACTAGCTGCTTTCCACAATCTTCATCGCGGAAATGCATCTAATTAATAAAATTTAATGAAAAATATTAGCGTCTACAAACCACTGCTGCTTTAAAACAGTTTTACCAGGAGGTGGATTTAAGAATTTTCAAGTCTGTGTATGTGGTTGGGGGGAGGGGGTTATTTTCTTTACGTTTAAAAATGTTTAATTCAGATGCATTTTTAAAGTGGAATTATCCTATTTCCTACACTCCATGATAAAAAATTAAGGATTAATTACTTCATTCCTTATTAAAACGTTATAATTTTTAAATTTCTAATTATGTTTCCTTTTCAACTTTAATTTTTGGGATATCTTGAATATAGAGATGAAAAGTTTGTCAGCGCAACTCCTCTTAAACCGCTGCACAGAATTTCATCAAATTTTGCAGATATTTAGGACACAATGTAGATGTGCATAATACTGGAAAATTCCGATTTATGTATTTTTTTCCGGGATTTCCAACACTTTGAGTTTTGGGAGAGCGTGGGGTATCTGAGCTTGCTCACTTTTTCTTTCATTACATTCATACCATAAGTTTGATGTCCAGGAGTAAAGAAGATTGCATCAATTGTAGTCGTTTTTGACCTATCCCTCAGCCCGGGGGGCTTCAAATTCACAAATTGTGTTCCCCTCTAACGTAAGATGCTATATGCCAAAATATGAAATAGGTAAAGTGGTTTTAGATGTTTAAATGTTAATGTTTAAATGTTAATGCACGACGAATGACGACAAATAAAAGGGAACTTGTAGCAATAGATCTGACTATTAATGGCCTACTAATGTTGTAATCAAAACTTAATAAAATGAAGGATGAGAGAAATTGAGAAACTTTATCGAAGAACTTTAAGCAGAGCAAAATATGTGAAGTTTCCGTCGTAGCAATTTCGAGTCGCAGAGTACACAGTTGATCTCATGTCGCTGGTACAATAATACATGTACTGTATATTGTCGCAGAAGGTACATGCACGATTTTCAGAATGCCTCAAGGTCAGGTACATATTTATATTTACATCCATGGACAGGCAATTGGTGACGCTTCAGTATTAATGAAAATTTCTCAAAGGAATCTTTTACATGCAAAAAAAAAAAATATATATATTGTCGTCGCTTACTGTTATAACATTTATCAAAAATTCTATTTCCAAATTAACACAAATACATACAATCGATAATTATAATTTTAAAATAAACAAAATGTGAGTGTAATTGACCCGAGAAGGCCCCGCCCAACGATAGTATCTGTTTAAAAACATGTTTGGAAAATAAACAATTTTCCAATGTAAACATCGATTAAACAAACAACTTATGAAAATCAAATGTAAAATTATTCTTATTTGATGAAAATATATCTTTATCGTGATTTTGAGTAGATAGGTGCCGCCAGTTTTTAAAATCAATATCATTGTTTTTATTTTTAAAATCCAAGTGACGGCATTGTATAAAAGGAATGCAGGCGCTTAAGACTTGACAGTGAAAAAGTCCGAACGAACTTGCTGTTTCAGAAAATTCCAAAGAGGTATACTTTAACAGTATGAAAATACGTTCACTTGATAATCTCAAATTAGAGTTCATCTGTCTGACTTTCCGTCGGTCTATCCCATTTTTGTTTTCTGATTTTCTCTAAAGAACCAGGGATTCATGGTTGATTACTAAAATCAGGTGCTATCCGTTTTTGTCCGTCGTCGTGCATTGTGGGTCAGCATTTGAACATTTTGTTTTCTGATTTTTCCTAAAGAATCACAGATCCATGTTTGATTTTTGTAAGCAGGTTCACCTTGGTGAGTTTCTGATTAATGTAGTTTTTAACGAAACTTTAATTTGATAAGGTTTTTCGGGCGGAGGTGGGGTAATTATTTGATTGGAACCGGATAAAAACCTTTCGATGAAAAAGCTAGTAGTATTCAGCCAAAGTTAGTATCAAAGCAAGTACGTAGCATAAGGGGATTTCCCTTTTTTTTCAAGACGCAAGTTTTTCTACAGGAAACAATTATTGAAAGTCCGGGGTATATTTCTTTTTCTTTCTTTTTTTTTTTTTTGGCTTGTCAATTTTCTTTTGTCAGGTAAAAAGACATCCCCTTAAAAATGGGACTGCGATACGTGGACCACATGCATGTGTTTTAACCGAAATTCAAATAAAGGAAAAATTTTTATGTTTCTTGAATATACATGTAAGTTTGTTCACATTTTCTACGAAGATTTGCTTACTTTGACTGATAGTACTTTCTCATAGCAAAATTGTGAAAAAAATATCTCTGACTGGCTTACAGTTTTGTCATTTTAAAAAATCGGGCTATTGTAATCCGTAAAGGCATCTTTTTTTTTATTTTCACGGAAGAAATCCTTCAATGGAAAAACAGATATGATGGTACACGTGTAGCACAGCTCAGTACACAGATTTTGTTATGACCCCCCCCCCCCTCCCGAGCATGCAAACCTTTGCCATAATTAGCGTAATTAGATTGCTGTATTAAGGTAGATGTTTGAGAGAGAAATTTGGATCTGCCCATGAATATATAAGTACGAAATGCAGATTTAAAAGCGAGGTTTGCCAATGTATGGCATATTCTAATTTGAATCATTTTACAAGCAAATTGTCTTGGAGGGGAACTCTCTAGCATTCTCGAGCATGCGCAGTATGACGTATACCAGTGGCATTCGGTTTAACCTCGCTTATATATTTTCTGTGTAGAACTCAGGGTCCAAACAATAAATAGCTATTCTGTGAGGTCGTTTGTAATATCTATGCAATGATAGGTGTAGGAAACGATAGTAAGCGGACATAGTTTTACAAATTAATCTTTGCAGTTGATAAATTTATATATTGTATTTTTTTTTTAAATATCCGATATATTTCTTTTCACAGGAAGAAATGCAGAAACTTCAATCCGTCATATTTCTAACATGCTTGGCTTTTATCAACTTTCCTCGAGGTAGGTTAACCGTTCAAAATAGGAGAAATTCTAATTACAGTGAATTAATATTTTTGGAAGCATTTTTTCAATTAGATGCACGGTTTTCTTTCTTTGTTTACGAAATTAAGGTTGTGAAGCTCACAAGTGTTTACTTTTTGAAAGACTGAAGTGCCATGGAGAGTACTCCCGAGCTATCTTCTCCACGCATACTCATGGTAGGTTCTCCACCCAAACTCATAGTGATGCCCATATTTGCAGGTTAGTTCTTTATCACATTCTATTTTTTGATTTTCTGTTACCGAGATACGAAAATAACGATGTGAACTTTTTATTTATTTAATTTGAACTAGCAATAATTTTACAATTGAACAAGCAATAACTTTATTGGACATTGAAGCATTTTTGATTTTTATACTGAATGCAGTTGAAGATTTGAAAGAAAATTGGAATATGGTAGGGTATACTACAACATTACGTTTTTTTCTGTTACCTAGTGCTGCAGAAGATTACTTGAAATGCGTAGAAGATATACTTGCTGACTGCAGAGCAAATCCCCATGTTGCAAACGTTGACCATGTTACCAATCAGGCCAAATATACTGCAAAACAAATGAAAATTGTCAAAGAACAGCATCGATGCGGTATGTAGTTCGAGAAAGTAAAATGTATCTTCTGTAAATAGTAATTTGTTCTTGATTTCTATTCTTATCAGGCCAAAAATGTAAGGTTAGATTTAGGTCGAAATCTTGATTTTAAGTGCGTTGTGTTTTCTTAATGTACCTAACCAAAAATTTTTGTGATATCGTTTTGCAAAAGAAAAATAGAGAAAGCCTTTTTTGATTTTCAAAAATCTTGACACAAATTATACTTGTTTCACATATTCACTGAAGTAAATGATAGTCTTCGGGTTTTATAGAACTGGTGACGGTTTTTGAGATTGCATATACTTTCCAAATGCTGATTTATAGATATTATCACTGATTTATAGATATTATCACTGATTTATAGATATTATTACTGATTTATAGATATCACTGTTTTATAGATAATATATCTGATTTATAGATATTATCACTGATTTATAGTAAATTTCACTGATTTATAGATAATATCACTGATTGATAGATATTATCACTGATTTATAGATATCACTGGTTTATAGATAATATCACTGATTTATAGATGTTATCACTGATTTATAGATAATATCACTGATTTATAGATATTTTCACTGATTTATAGATATTATCACTGATTTATAGATATTATCACTGATTTATAGTAAATTTCACTGATTTATAGATAATATCACTGATTTATAGATATTATCACTGATTTCTAGAAAATATCATTGATTTTTTAGGTGCCTGTGAGAAGAAACATAGTCTGATCGTCATTACCCTAGGGCTGCTTTATTACTTCCTTACTCTGAAATCCTGATTTTTAAACAGCATCGCTTGAAGAACAAATGTTTTTAAAAACCTCATTGCGCTTTCTTTCTTCACTAGAGAAAACATGAACATTTCCAAATTTCGTGACTTTTGACATTCAGCTAGAAATTATGTTTTTAATCTGTGTGGGATGGGGGGTGTTCCGTTTTAAACAGGAGTACTTTTGCACGCAAAATGTATTTGTTGTTGATATTTTAACCTTGCTGTATAAATTAATCATCAGAAATAACGGTTGTTCTTACTGTTGTCATAAAATTTACGTCATAAAATTTAAGGATGAAACATATTGAGATAACGAACAATATTCCAGATCAAAAGTCATAAAACAATACAAAATAGGAGCAGAGCAAACGCGGTCATCCAGAACATCAGAGGTGGGATCACGTGCCGTGGAGGAGTTGAGCATACCCTGACGACCGATCACAACCGTCGTGTGCTCCATGTCATGATCGGGAAATAACGGAAAAATCCGTCGTCAATTCAGTGTGTAAATAATGGACTAACAGTAAGTATGAAAAACGTCAGTCAGCGTTTGAGTTATTGATCAATTGTATTTGATGACTAAGTCATTGTATCGACCATAGAAATTACGAAATGATGACTTTATCGAGACTGTTGAAATCCTTGTTTCATCAACTTGTTTGTCAATAATTTACCTCGTTGTAGAAACTGAGCATGCTCTTGCGTATCGAATCAAATGAGATATATAAACTCCGTTTGCAGGTGATGAAAGTATACTGCTGAATATGTAAGGAAAGTTGACGGTAGAAAGTTTAAAGTCATCACGTTTATCTATAAGTTTGGTTGTTAAATTACCATTGATGTCCTTTTCAAGTAAAATATCTAAATATGAAAGAGATGTGTCAGACTCTGGGTTATCTTTTATCTCAAGCTCAGCAGGATAAATCGTATCGACATAAGAATGGAAATTACCATTGTTAATTGATTGACAATACGTCGTCGATATATCTAAATGTCGAGTTGAAGGCCACAGCAAGTGTTTTCCTCTTTTCACGCATAAGATTTTGCACAAATTCAGCTTCATATGAATACAAAAATAAATCGGCTAATCAAGGGGCGCAATAAGAACCCATGGAAATTGCAATAGATAGTTGAAGTCCTCGCCTCCAAAAACAACATAGATTTTGTTAATCAGAAACTCAAGAATCTTTTTGATGTCGACTTCAGAGTACTTTTCTGTTTAATCAGAATGCTTTTTCACAATATAATTTAGGGATGTCAACGAATATTCGAATATTCATTCGATGAGTTGATATTCGAATATAAATTTATGATTCGAATATTCGTTTTAAAGTGTAAAAGCATTAAAAAGAGAGAAAAAACCTGGGAAGTTCAATTAGAAATTGAATCAAGTTTGTACAAAATTAAAAGACACTGACCTCTTAGATTATCTTAAAGGTGTGAAGAGTGTATCTATTAGAGTAATTTATTCATTTTTTCACTTAATTAGTTTAATAAAGGTGTCCAGTACATACAATCAGCTTGGATTGTTGTAAGGACACAGTTTTAAAGTAATCACATGGATCCCTTGTTTATACAAATATCATTAAAAATCATTATCATGAAATTGATTGGCCAAAATTAATTGTTTTTAATATTTCTTTGTTAGATAATTGTTCTGCTTGATATAATTGTAGGAGTTATCAGTGAATACTTTAGTAAGACGATCAATTAATCTGAAACATACTAAAGAAACTTTTGAATTTTCAAGAAAACCTTTCATTTTGGATTTATATTCTTTCTATATTTGATAATTAAACAGAAAAATAATTGAGGTGCATTTATCAAGCTCTATATGAGTTCTTATTCTAAAATAATGGCATAAACCTATACTGCTTGACAGGAGAGTGAAGATATATATTTTATAATGCAAAATGTATTTATTGTATCGAATATTCGAATATATTCGAATACTTCTATCGAATATTCGAATATCAATTACTGACAATTTTGACATCCCTAAATTTTGCAAATGACCAATGACTAGGTAAGTCAATTCTTGAGTTCCATGTTTAGTGAAAAAGCAGCCTTCAATGACAGGGAAAAGCCTAGACTTTTATTTATCGTGGGGGAATGGTTGTATATAAAGTTGAGAAGTCGTAAGCTTTTAAGCTGTTCATTTTAGTAAAATCTTGTGATTTCAAATTGTCCCAAAGTCCCTTGTAGGTTTTATGTATCCACATCTGATTCACACCACTACATCAGCAAAACTCGGTTATATCGAAGTCACTGGAACGAATAAAATTACTTTGCTATAACCGTAATTCGTTATAACCGTATATAATATTCATTAAATTTATATAGGTGGGGATCCAAGATGACTTCTCTATATCCGTAAACTAAATTCGCAATATCCGTGTTCGTAATAAACGAGTTTGTGTATTTAAATGCGGGAGAACTAGGAAAAGAAAGTGTTACTTAAACAAACTGTGTTTTTTAATTTGAACAATAGTTATATAAAAAATGTTTTAAAAAATTAGATAAAAGTATTTTTTGGTTCTGTTTGATTTTTTAAGTAATGTCTCTATTTCTTGACAAATTATAAAACAGCATGAACTGACCCAAACCAGGTAATACTGGGATAATTTGGCAAAAAACGAGTCATTCCTTAGAGTGTAATTGTAAGAGCATTAAACAATTTTGGGTTTAGAATTTCGTTGCTTTATAATGGTTCAAATTTGCCGTACAATGATACAATTTTAGAATCGGAGGTGATTGGAACGAGAAAAAGGTAAAAACTTAAACACAGACCCATCTGCCGTGTTGTTTGTTTACAGATTGAGATACTGTAAGAAATTAAAACTACAAGATTTTTTTTTCATGAATCCCGAGGACAGGAAATGAGAGGATTACATAGATACGGATGATTCAACAAGGCGGGGGGGGGGGGTGTCCCATACCAAACCAGGTTATTTAGAAATTTTAGATATAAACCAAGCTGAAATACAAACAAAATTAAACTATTACCTCTAATCCTTAATTTACAAGCTATATGTATGTTGAATATATTTTTAACGGTGGCTTAACTATGTTTCTAACATTCATTAATGAATTAAAGCCTGTTACCTTTGAATAATATGGGACACTGACAGCCTGACTAAACTTTAAAACATTCCGTATATTTACATTTTACATGTTTGGAAGCACCAAAATATACTCAATATCTAAATTTCTCGCTGCCCTATATACCTTTACTAACGTCGCTGTAGCCTTATTGTGTACACACGTCACGTTAACGCACGTTTCTCTGTGTATATTTCTACGCGTGAGTATACACGAAAATGGTTTTCAAATCAATTTCACAGTTGACTTAGTCATAAAACACAGCAAATGTAAATATATATACGTTGTGTAGTTCTGGTTAGCCAAACTTTGTTCGGAGGTGGTGTTACGATTTATGATTTTGATATTGAAAGAGAGATGGACACAAGTTCAGCTAAAAATTTTCTAATTCATTTTTTCCAGTTTTACAAATATTTAACAAAGGTCATTAGAAAGTTTCCAGAAGTTTGCTTAATTTCATTTTGTTATAAATATGATATTTTCTATGTGTAAACAGAAACAAGGCGCCAGCCTTGTTTACATTATGAAGAAATGTTCTGTATGTAGTTTGTTAATCAACAAATGATCAAATATTTGCTGATCATCACATGATGCCTTAGTTTGGAATTGTAAACGTTGAAATTGGTTTTAAAATTCAGATGAAACTATGTCCATGCCCCTTGTTTTTGTCGACGTGCCGCCAATCCGAGTTTCCTCCATTAGTGTGGAACGTTAAGATAGCAAATAATCTTACACAAAAGATTGACACACAAGCAGGCAGTTCCACAGGCACTTGTTTTGTATATCGGATACCCCTTACTTATATTAACCACAAGGTACCTAACTCAATTTCAGGCACCCCCGCTTCAATTTCGTATTTTGTTCATATATTAATTATTCCACATCTTTGTTATAATTAAAAATACTAGAGCCGAGCTCGTTGCAAAGCAATGAGTAGGTCTTCCGTCCTGTTTGACCGGAAGTAGCTTTCATTTTTAACAAAAATGAGAAGAAACGCCCAAAAATGCTTTGAATCCTCTAAAGCTATGTTAATTAATGCAAAAATAAGTCATTTTTTGCTACTTTCGGTTTGATTAGAAGTGACGACGACGCACGGAAAATTAATTTTTAAGCTCCCAGAGACATATGTTACCCAAAAACTTGTCAAAAACGGCAAAAATACGCGTTTCCCGACTACTTCCGGTTTGGCCGGAAGTGACGATGCTGGACGTATTTTGACGACTCCATTAGATTAAGCTTGACATTTTCAACAACTTTGCTTCTTTGATGTATAACAAATTTTCAATACTTTTTGAGATATCTGGAAAAAAATTTTGGCCCCTCTAGATCCCTTAATTTAGGGGTCAGCCCTTTTTGCGACATATCTTTTGAAAGATCTTTTAATTTTGCACAAATTATGTTCTATATATTTTAACAAAATATTTTTAGTTTAGAAGTTAAAAAGCAAAATATGAGTAATTTTTGGTTATTTTAAGCGTTCTAATTTTTTACCCCTATATAGCGCCATTTTGAAAAGAGAAATCGAAAAACAAAAACCGATGTGCACAAATTCAATCCTTCTTTTATCTAAAATCAGTAGAATTTCTGCTCCAGCTTTAGCCGTCTCTGAGCCTTTGTCTGGAAATGAAAGCCTATAAATTTTCGCTTAAAGGGAAAAAACCCAAAACTGGAAGTGACTTTTTGAAATTTTAGTCAACATTCTGATAGAATTTATAAACGTCTATAACCTCTGAAAATTTCAGCGAAATCCGTTGAGAAATGAGTGAGATATGAGGCCTCAAAGTTGAGGTCTAGGAAGCAGAAGAAAAAAAAAGAATAATAATCTTTACCAACAGAATCAGTAGAAGGTCTTCCGTTGGAAACGGAAGACCTTAATAATAGTGTATGTATTCTTTTTCTTTTTAAAATAAGTCATATCTTTGAAAGTCAAACGAAGGATTCAAATGGCACCATAAATCTTCAAATTAATGGATAATACATTAAAAAGTATAAAAATAAACAAACAAAACAACTTTATCGATATTTGAAATATCTGTATTCTGAAAGACTCTTAGTTGTGTTCCAATTATTTCACTAACACCAAGATGTTACCATGGGACAGTTACTTTTTTAAAGTCTCAAGGCATGGGACAGATATTTTTTTTTCAAATACGAATGCCATGCGACACGTACTTTTTTTAAAATTACAATTTTGTTTTGTACTGGTCCCATCATTGTGATGAATTTTGCCTGGTCTCTCATATTATAAGTTTGATGTCCAGGAGTAAAGAATATTGCATCAAATGTAGTAGTTTTTGCCCTTCCAGGGGACTTCAAATTCACAAATTTTGTTCCCCTTCAACGAAAGATGTTATATGCCAAAATTATGAAATGGGTTGTGAGAGGTTTTAGAAATGAAGTTGAAAATGTTTAAATGTTAATGCATGGCGAATGACAACAAGCAAAACAGGTAACAATAGGTCTGACTATTAATTACCTACTAATGTAATCAAAACCTATTAAAATGAAGGATAAGAGAAATTGAGAAACTTTTTTCGAAGAACTTTCAGCAGAGCAAAATATGAGAAGTTTCCGTCGTAGCAATGTCGAGTCGCAGAGAACACAGTTGATCTCATGTCGCTGGTACAATAATACATGTACTGTATAAAATTTGGTTTCTTGTCGCTGAAAGTACATGCACGATTTTCAGAAAGCCTCAAGGTCTAGTACGTATTTATATTTACATCCATGGACAGGCAATTGGTGACGCTTCAATATAAATGAAAATTTCTGGAAGGAATAAAAAATATTGTCGTCGCTTACTGTTATAACATTTATTAAAAATTCTACTTCCAAATTAACACAAATACATACAATCGATATATTATAATTCTAAAATAAACAAAATGTGAGTGTACTTGATCTGACAATCCCCCGCCCAACGATGGTATCTGTTTAACAAGCATATTTGGAAAATAAACAATTTTCCAATGTAAACATCGATTAAACTAAGAACTTATGAAAATTAAATGTAAAATTATTCTTATTTGATGAAAATATATCTTTATCGATATTTTGGGTAGATAGGTGCCGCCAGTTTTTAAAATCAATATCATTTTTTTTTTTATCCAAGTGACGGCATTGTATAAAAGGAATGCAGCCACTTAAGACTTGACAGTGAAAAAGTCCGAACGAACTTGCTGTTTCAGAAAATTCCAAAGAGGTATGATACTAAACTTTAACAGTATGAAAATACGTTCACTTGATAATCTCAAAGGAGAGTTCATCTGTCTGACTTTCCGTCGGTCTATCCCATTTTTGTTTTCTGATTTTCCCTGAAGAACCACGGATTCATAGTTGAATATTAAACTCAGGTGCTACCCGTTTTTGTGTCCGTCGTCGTGCATTGTGGGTCAGCATTTGAATATTTTGTTTTCTGATATTTCCTAAAGAATCACAAATTCATGTTTGATTTTTTGTAAGCAGGTTTCGGTGAGTTTCTGATTATTAATGTAGTTTTTAACGCAACTTTAATTTGATGAGGTTTTTCGGGAGGGGTTTGGGTAATTATTTGAGTGGAACCGGATAAAAACCTGTCGATGAAAAGCTAGTATAAGTTAGTATCCAAGCAAGTACGTAGCATAAGGAGATTTCCCTTTTTTTCAAGACTCGTGTTTTTCTATAGGAAACTTTTATTTCAATCTATAGGAAACTTTTATTGAAAGTCCGGGTTTTTGTATATAATTTCCCTTTGTTAGGTTTTCAGAAGTTTTGAGCATATTTTTGAGCTTTTTAATATCCTATATATATTTTTTGATTTTCTACTTTGTCAATTTTTTCAGGTCACACAGGGTATATTTTTTTCCGTTGCTAAAGGCCTGTATCAAGCTGTAATTATCGTATTTAGATTGCTGTATATATAAAAAATTATTTACGAGCCTTGATGTTTAGTTTGTATATAAAAGTAGATGTTCGTGAGAAATTCGGGTCTGCCAATGAATATATAAGTACGAAATGCAGATTTAAAAGCTAGGTTTGTTAATGAATGGCCTATTCTAATTTGAATCATTCTACAAGCAAGTTGTATTGGAGAAGAACTCTCCAGCATTCTCGAGCATGCTTAGGCTGACGTATACCAATGGCATCCGGTTTAACATTGCTTATATATTTTCTGTGTAGACCTCAGGGTCCACACAATACAATACAATCTTTGAGTTGGTTTGTAAAATCTATGCTATGATAAGTGTAGGAAAAGATATTAAGCGGAAATAGCTTTACAAATTAATATTTGAAGATGATATATATATATATATATATATATATATATATATATATATATATATATATATATATATATATAGCTCTCCAAGTAGAGCTACAGTGCTTTTATATTATACAAAAAAGTGCCTGATATATTAAAAATCTTTTTACAGTGTTCCAAGTCTTTCACTGTTTCCAGAAACTTCAATAATTGTATTAATACATATTTTTACATTGAGATCATGCTATTTATATTGGTTTGCTTTTAAAGATGTAAACAACTTTTGATAAATGAGTAAGAACTTTTTTGAAATCTAGCTTTTTTTTACAATTGGGTAGGTTTTGAACAATTAAAAACAGAGAGAATTTTTTGCGCGCATTATACAGATTTTAAATGAATTCCGAAAAATATTTTTGGCAGCATCTTATTCAATTTGATGCACGGTTTTCTTTCTTTTTTTACGAAATGTAGGTTGTAAAGCTCACAAGTGTTTACTTTGGGAAAGACTAAAGTGCCATGGAGAGTACGCCCGAGCTAGATTCGCTACACATACTAATGGTAATGCCTTTATTTGCAGGTTAGTTCTTTGTCACGTCCTATAATTGGATTTTTTAGCGAGATGCATTGAAGTGATGTAAACTTCAGAAAATTTTTATTTAATTTTAACTAGCAATAATTTTTGCAATTTTAATGGACATTGAAGCATTTTTGTTTCGTCTAATAAATGCAGTTGAATATTTGAAAGAAAATTGAAATATGAAATTAGTGCATGAAAATATGAAACAAAATATTCAATCTCAGATTAAAACAATACAAAATAAGAGCAGTTTACTACAAAATTCAGAGGTATTTTGCCATTGTCCCCTACCTACACCCGCCGTGTGCCGCATGATCAGGAAATAACTTGAAAAAATGCGTAAATGTTATAAATAATGGACTAACAATTGGTGAAAAACTGCAGCATATTTGACAATGATAAACTGTATTTGCTGACATGGTCATGTTGCAAACGTTGACCACGTTACTAATCAACTTGCTTCTCAATGATTTACCTGTTTTAAAACAGATGAAAATTGTCAAAGATATATATACTCCGTATGCAGGTGATGAAGGTATATTGCTGCATAAGTAAGGGAAGTAAAAAAAGTGTCTCTTTATGAAACACAAAGTGAAACACAAAGTATTCTGGCAGATTTAAGGGTTGACTACAAGATTACGTATTTTCTGTTAAATAGTGCCGCAGAAGATTACTTGGTATGCGTAAACAATATACTAGCTGACTGAAATCTTTGCATTTTAAGTTACCAATTTTGTTTTGTCAATGTACCTAACCTAAAAAAATCTTTCTGATTTCGTTTTGCATTTGTTTTATTAAAAATGTGGAAAATATTTACATAACATTTTAAGTGCGTTTTGTTTTCTTTAATGTACCTAACTTAAAAATCTTGTGATTTCGTTTTGCAACAGAAAAATGAGGAAAATATTTTAACAGTTTGATTTTTTTCGAAACCTTGTTTAAAATTATACTTGTTTCAAATATTAACTTAATTAAATTATCATTTACTTTTCTAGATGTTGATTTATAGATAATTTAAATGAATTTATTTTAGGTGCCTGTGAGAAGAAACATAGTCTGATTGCTATTACCGTAGGACTGCTGTATTATTTCCTAACTCTGAAGTCCTAATTTTTGAACAGCAATGCTTGAAGAAAAAACGTTTTTAAAAACCTTTTTGCGCTTTTTTTCTTCACTACGGAAAACATGCATATTTTCAAATTATGTGACTTATGACATTTAGCTAAATATGATTTGTTTTAAATTTTTTTATGGGGGGTGTCTGTTTTATACAGGAAGACTTCTGCATGCTAAACGTGTTTGTTGTTGATACTTGTGCCTTTATGAATGAATAAATCAGCAGAAATAATGGTTGTTTTAAATGTTGTCATTAAAATTTAGCATTAAACATAATTATGGAGATAACGAACAGTATTCCAGATCAAAAAGTCATAAAACAATACAAAGTAGGAGCAGAGCAAACATTGACCTCCAAAACATCGCAGGTTGGATCAGATGCCATGGAGGAGTGAGTAAACCCTGCCGACTGGTCACATCTGACGTGTGCTCCTTGTCATGATCGGAATATAACGAAAAAATCTGCCGTCCAATTCAGTGTATAAATAATGGACTAACAATTAATATGAAAAAACGTCATTCAGCGTTTTACTCATTGATAATTTGAATTTGCCGACTAAGTCATTGTATCGACCATAGAAATTACGAAATGATGACTTTAACGAGACTGCTGAAATCCTTGTTTCATCAACTTGTTTGTCAATAATTTTTAAAATTTATAATTTTTCCAAAAACCACATGTGGTGCAAGTCGTACATACAGCAAATATATAATCACATAAATTTTCTTATATTTTATAAATGGGAAAATTTAAGTATCAGGTTGATACTAAATAGTAAAATAAAAATGCATAATATATGGACTGCCCCGTTACCATCCTTGATGTGACAGACGAGGAAAAAATTATATTGACAGTAAAATAAAAATTGTAAATATTGAAAGCTACAAAATAAATGTAAAGAAATTTGGCTGCACAAGATAGGAAACAGCCTCAAAAAGTCATAAATCTAGTCACCTAATTCACATGCAGGCATAACAATGCGGGACTTGATCCAACTATGATAGTCTGATACTTTTAAGGAATCAATCACAGATTTCTTAATGTTCGGAAAAACTTTATCTGGTCTTCCTGGCTGAAATTGGAATGGTTGCAACCTCCTCAGGTCTTCAGTCATAACCAGTTCATCTCCTGCTGTCTTTAGTTGTGTGTTTTTTGGAACGGACAACAACTCCAGTTACAGAGTCAAAGTGTTGAGATATGAGTACATCACGTTCTCCAGAAAGGCCTTTCGTGTAATTTATGTTTTTTCAGATTTATTTGAGTAAATGTGCTTTATATGTTTATTTACGGTTTTCACAACATACTCCATTTGTAAATTGGCAGGAATGTGTCAAATTTTCTTTCCATTTGTATTTACAAAGATCCCTTAAACTATTTCTGCTGCCTCTTTTTCTGACAAGGTGCACATCTGCTGTATCAGAAAGCCAAAAACAAAATTATAAAAATTTCTAATGGCAGGTATTAGCACTCTAGAATAATAAAATCCTGCCAGTCCATACCTTATGATCAGAAATATTATTCAACAAGCACATTGTTGTCATTCTTTGAATCACAGTTTCTTGTGTCTTCTTTGAACGCATATTTCATAAATCATTCCTGGTTTAGGAAATATACTCTGATAGTTCTTTTCTCCATTCTGAGACATCATTGCTTCCAAAATACTAACATTAATGGAAAATTTTCGGAAAACTCCTGACAGATATTGTCCCAGTTACTTCATTTTGTTTTTCATAAGTACACTAACAAATCTCTTCTTGTTTATTCCGTTTATTTGAATATTGTGTTCTGAAGTGTACAGTTAAGAATATCTCAAACTCTGGATTCTGAAGTAAGACACTTCCAATATAAGAAATATATCCACCAGCGTTAATTATTAACGTCAGGTATTGTTCTTCCCTAGACGGAGATAGTTCAGGAGAACAGGCATTCTTGAATGTTCCCTGTCCGTTGTAGCGAATGTTAATAGTGCTGAGGTTTTTGGAGCCTTAAAAGGATTACATACGTTACACTATCTGAAATTGTTTCTTTAAAATTGCACAAAACACAGCTTAAAGAAAAGGTGAGATCAACGTTAAAGAAAAGGTCAAAATTTAAAAAAACAAGATGTGTTTGTGAAACACTGATGCCAACGAAGATCAAGGGAACCTAACTACACTACCACAGTACCTGATCCACTGTATGTAAACTTAAGCAAAGAATATAGTGCTGTGTCAGAGAGGAAAATTCTCCGAGAGTATAACAAATCAAAGAAGTACCAAAAAAATTTCCCAAGCTTCAGTAACTTTAGATTCCATAGAAGTTAAGAAGTACAAGTCCAAATCTATTATATCCTCCGTATCATCATTATCATCTTCTAGCTCATCATATACTAGTTCAAATTCAGATTTCAGCTCCCCATGAACCCACACATCAAAAATAGAAGAAAATCCATCCAAAGACGTTCCAACGATTTATGTTCCTGAAGAAGAAGCTTATCAGATTCAAGAGGCGAAAGACATTCCTGCATACTTATCGTCCAACAAAATGGAAGTTAATAAGCTAATTATACTCAAATAACAACTTGACTGCCGAGTAATTCAGAATGTATGGGTAGGAAATTTGAATCCAGCCGACGGACACTTGCCAGCGACCAATTATTATAAGCAGCCATGATAAATACCAACTCACCGTTTCAAACGTCCAACAACACTTGTTTCATTGACAGGTATCCCCAATTGATTTTGTTCTGGAATACTTCCTGTCATCTGAAGTTTTTCCTCATATCCTGCCGCTGGACTTCAGAGTCACGACCACTATACATAGAAGGGAAATTTTATGGACTCGCTGGGTTTGGTGTTGGCAGTTGAATAGAAGGATCAGTCGCAGCCTCTGTGGGAAGAGTTCTTTTGACTGTCACTGTGATAAACTGAGATGTGATAAATCGTAGTGTATTTATATTTGTTGTTGCTTAAATTTGATGCCTATTGTTATAACTGTGATATTATAGTTTATTAATAATGTTTCATTGTATAATATGTATTCTATACTTATTATTATGTTTAACATTACTGGAGTAATGAAAATATACGCACTTTTGACATCACTTAATTCTCTTCCTTTCACTAGTTTGACATTATTCCCATTCGTGGACAAATGCCTATTAGAAAGGTACCCTTACAAAAATACTATAGTTAAATACAGTTTACCATAGTTATAACTTTGACACTTTGAAAACTTTGATTTACTACAGTGATAACTTTGACACTTTGAAAACTTTGATTTACTATAGTGAAAACTTTGAAACTTTGAAAAACTTTATCGAAAACTTACACACTTTGAAAAAAACTTTATCGAAAACTTTGGCTCTTTGAAAAACTTTATTGAAAACTTTGACACTTTCAAGAACTTTATCAAAAACTTTGACTCTTTGAAAAACTTTATCGAAAACTTTGACACTTTGAAAAACTTTATCGAAAACTTTAACACTTTCAAGAACTTTATCGAAAATTTTGACACTTTGAAAAACTTTATCAAAAACTTTGGTGAAAACTTTGACACTTTGAAAAACTTTATCGAAAACTTCGGCACTTTCAAGAACTTTATCGAAAACTTTCACACTTTGATAAAATTTGGTGACGACTTTGCCACTCCAAAAAAATTATCAAAATCTTTAACACTTTGAAAAACTTTATCGAAAACTTTGACAGTTTTTCACACTTTGAAAAACTTTGGCGAAATCTTGGACATTTTGAAAAACTTTTTCGAAAACTTTGACACTTTGAAAACTTTGGCGAAATCTTTGACAGTTTGAAAAACTTTGGCGAAAACTTTGACACATTGAAAAACTTTGGCAAAAATTTTGACACTTTGATTTACTTTAGTTAACCATAGTAAACTGTAGTTAACTATAGTTTTTTTTAGCTCACCTAAGCCGAAATTAACCATTTTGCTAGATGCAACTTTCTTCTTCACAAATATATATACTTGGATCATAATACCCAGAAGAAAAAGGAAAATATTTTCAAAGAATTAATGTATTTTTACAATATTATCAAAAGAGCCCCCCCCCCACTCTACACCTAATGGCTAAACCCTTGACACAGGGACCATGAAATTCTCAAATTTGATTAAGGCACTCTTGTTAATTAAAAATATATACTAAGTTAGTTTATTTAATACCAAGGAGCAGAGAAGATTTTCAAATGCATTTTCACCAAATAATCAATAGAGCCCCACACTAACACCAAAACCCCTGACCCTGGGGCCATAAAATTCACAATTTTGGAAAAGGCGCTCTTGCCCATTATAACTATGTACTTAATTAGTTTAAAACCCAGGAGCACAGAAGAAGATTTTCAAAGAATTACAACTGTAATGCATTTTTACTATATAATCAATAGAGCCCTGCCCTAACACCGGAATCCCTATTCCTGGGGTCATAAAATTCACAATTTTGGAAGATGCACTCTTGCTCATCATAATATGTACTTATTTACTTTATTTGATACTCAGTAGCAGAGAAAAAGATTTTAAAGGTTTACTGAATAATCCCTATATATTCAATAGAGCCCCTCCCTAACACCAGAACCCCTGACCCTTGGGCCACAAAATTCACAGATTTAGAAAAGGCACTCTTGCTCATCATAACTTTGTACTTAGTTAGTCTATTTAATACGCAGAAGCAGAGAAATAGATTTTCAAAGAAATAATGCATTTTCACTATAATTATAATCTATATTGCCCCAACCTAGCACTAGAACCCCTAACCCTGGGGCCATGAATTTCACAATTTTGGTAGACGACTCAATGTTCATTACATTTATGCCAACAGTTTGACTGCTTGATGTCCAGGAATAGAGAAGAAGATTTTTTAAAAAGATTTTATTAATTTTAGTGGTTTTGGCCCCACCCCTCAGGCACCAAGGGGCTTGGCATAAAATTCACAATCTTATTCCCTTTACCCATAGATGCTGTATACCAAATTTGGTTGAAATTGGTTCAGTGGTTTCTGAGAAGAAGCTGAAAATGTTCAAATGTTAACACACGACGGACGACGACGGACGAAAACAGATAGCAATATGAGTGACTCAGGTGACCTAGAAAAAATAGATATCTGATTCATGCTCATACGCTTAGTTATTCATTGAATAACATACCATAAAGCGGTATGTGCTAATCCCGCACAGAGATTTTGATGGCTAAAAATCTGCGTTTAAATTTACATCGAAAATATGTGGTAGTGTTTTTATGGAAAATGAGACATTATACAATTATAGCCTTTTGATGAGGTCAATACATGTTTTTATGGACCTGATGAGAGTATATCGACCGAGGACGAAGTCCGAGGTCGATATACTCTCATCAGGTCCATAAAAACATGTATTGACCGATATCAAAAGGCTATAATTGTTTTATTATAATTGACTGAACATTTAAACAGTACAAGTATACAACAGGAAACAACATTTATTTATTTGATCAACAATATGTAAGTTGTAACATCTGTAACATCAACAAAATGACAAAATTACTTTAAGCTAAAGGCTTATTCACTGTTTAGGTAGAATGTTGTAATTGATGGAAATGTTCGAACAGTTATACATTAAAGGGATTGGAAATTGGTTCCAAGCTTTCACATTGTTTTCTACTTTAAGCTGAGAATTTGTCGAAACAACGTTAACATTCTGAGGCATTTCAACGTTTTTCAAAAATTCATCGAAGCCATCATCAGTGCTCAACAGATCGGTTAATACGGCATTTTCTTGCGAATCAGTTAAAGGCAAGATGTCAAAGTTAGGGGTTGCAACATCTTGTACATTTGTAGAATCATCTTTTTTCAAACATTTTTCCCGAATCTTTTCGGAGATTTTCTCTGACATCACTTGTTTTGTGTTTTCATCTGTTATTCCCGAGTACGTTTTAAGGGATGATTCGGATTTGTGCCCAGTGACTGTCATAATATGCCTACTTGGAATTTGCGCAGCATCAAGAACATGTACAGTAGTGGCTCTGCATGAGTGATTGGTGTAAATGGTATTCAAACCAGCTTTTCTACTTATTTCTTTCATCATTGATCCAAGCTTATTATGACCGAGGGGTGAATTGTCGTAAAACACTCCATCCTTTTGAAAGATCCGGGCTTTTTGAAATAGTCGATCGCATTTTGGATTTAGTCTCTTTAGAAATTTGATGAAACTTCTTACTGGACATCTACTGCTCCCTGAAATGGAAAAAAAATGCACATTTTTAATGTTTTGATGGTCAACAAAAATTATACAAGATATTCAAATAAAACATTCTTATTATTGAATCATTATATTAACATTCCTATTATTTCAAAACATCATTTCTTTTTTTTTTGCATGAACATTTACTTTTACTTGAAAAAAAAAAATTAATTCTATATATTTTTGGGGTATGATTTCTTCAATTTTTACCTTTGATTTCATACATTCTGCCGTCGGACGCTTTATCATTATCATCCTGATGGTTTTTTGTTTTTTCATCTGTGGTTTTGTATACATACAGGATTCCATTTCCACTTGTTGTTACAGCAAAGTCATCCCTCTTTAAATTTGCTAGATTTTCTCTCCCCCTTCTTCCAAAATGTAACATAAGGTCAAGGAAAACCTGGCAATGCAAAGTAAATCTGAATTATGATTTTTGTAACTTAGAGCACTAACTGTAGGAGAGTTAAACAAATGTTTTGCTAATATTAAAAATACAGGCCTTCAATCTAAGCACATTAAATATACTAACCTTGTACTGAAGAAGCTGTGCGTCTTCAAGGTCTGAAGTCACAAAAGAGTAAATCTTTTCTAAGTCCTCATCAGTGATTGCAGGATAGTGTACCACATTACCAAGTCCTTTTCGCTTCATTTCTTTTGTCATGCTTTTAAAGGCCTTGTTAGATAACTTGAATTCGGTTCCCTTTAGAATGTCAACACTCTTCCCACCCTTTTCAAGGTGCCGCTGTATACCATGTCTATATGCAATTAGAGTACTTTTCCTATACATTTCACCTTTTTTGTTTCTCATTTCGCAGTAAAATGTGGACAGTTTTTCATCGAGCTCAGCTGAAGAAAAATTTTCAAAGTCAGCCGACATATTTTTCGCGGTTAAATATTCCCTAAATGCTTTTACAGCTGTGATGGTTGATTTTTTCGTGCTATCAGAATCCACATTGTCGAAAATTTCTTTCAATTCTTGTTCATTAAGAGTGGCAAAGCGATTACTGGGATTAGCCATCCTTTCCTCGCAGGCACAGTTGCAAACAACAATAGTTAGGCGAACGCATTATCAAAACTAAACAGTGATTGGCCGAAAAAACACGTGATATCCAATCAAATCAAAGCTAACTTACAGACAGTTTAGAAATCTATTTTAAGTATAGCAGGGTTTATAAATTTTCTATTTTTAGTATAGAAGGGTTTATAAAATTTATTTTAGGAAACATCTGGTTTATAAGTGTTTTATAGCAGAATCACGTGGTATTAATCGACTAATCATAGATTTTGAATAATATGATATTATAACTATTATGACTTGAAGTAGTTGATTTGATCAGCTTGTATTATCAACTGTTCAACTATTATCTATATCCTTACATAATTACTATTAACTGAATATAAACGAAATTTTACTCCAAGTTTAAATAATTTTCTTTCATTTTATTACCAGTTTAGCTTGGACGACGATTTTTTTTTTATTTTCACGTATTCAGAAAGTTAATGATGAAATAAAAATTTCAAACTCTACCGTTGACTCACTGTACAAACATGTACCAGCGTGAACGATGAAAAAGCAAGCCTAAGTTAGATGAAGAAAATACACTGTAAGAAACCCATCTGAAACAAAACCTTCCGAACCCCAATCAAATAAAGTAATGATAAAAGATGAAATTCTACATTCATTTTATGAAAGCATTCGTCTGTAAGAATACCTATAAACGTAAATAGTTTTGTAACACATGTTAAATAATTTTAAACATGAAATATAGGGGGTTCCAAATTAAGAAAAGTCTTGCATGGATTCCAACAAAATTTTCATACAAATATTAAAGCTGCAAAATTTATTTTTACAATTCAATCAACAAGAACTTTTTGTGTTCACCTCCTGTTGCTGGCATTTCTTTTTCAATTAATTTCTGCTTATTTACACATAGATGTATTAAATATTGTTGAAATATTGACTTTCCATCTTCACTTATTATGACTATGGAATTGATTTAAAATCTTTGAGATATTCGTTTTTTTACTCTGCGATTGTCTTAACTAATACTTGTATTTTAATTTTCTAACCCGGTGTTGATTGTCAAATTTTATCTTTTCTTAGTCTAAGTTTGCTTCACAGAGTTTTAATAAACAATCATTTCAACACATACCAGTGTAAAGTTATATTTTACTAGTTTACTTATTTTAAAATTATAATTACAATAGGTTACTGTTTTGTATTGCTTGATGGGAGAACCATAAAGGTAACTAGAGCAAAGCTCGTTCCAAAACAAGTTTGTCTATTTTTTTTTATTACTGCATGAATACAGGATTAATGAAGCTAGATGTAAGCCATTCAATGTTAAACACAGATTCTTGCACGTCTGCTTCATATTAGGATATATTTCACTAGCAAATCATTAATAGAAGCCTAAGAAAAAAAACTGTATGATAAGCGTGGTAACTTCAAGTTTTCTATTACCAACTTTCCCTATTGCCAACTTTCCCTATTTATATTATAGAACAAGGAGTTATCAACAGTCTTTACAAAAGTCAATATTTCGCGGTCTATAGGGTCGATACAATGACATTGGCAATCTATCAATAAGTCAACTGTTTTTCATAAAAATTGTTGATCATTACTTTCATACTAGATTGTCTACGAATTTTCATTTTTCTCATCATGACAAGGAGTAGGCCGCAAGTGTGGTAGGTCGACGGGGAATGTTTGCTCTCCCATGACATCTGATCCCATCACTGATGTTTTAGAAATTCTTGTTCGATCTGCTCCAAATTTGAATTGTTTACAGGACTTTTGAGCTCTATTGGTTACTGTTGATTATCTTCATATTTACATGTATTTCATTCAAGCTTTTTAGAACACAATCGATCAAATTTTGATATTATATTATCTTCTTCAAAGATAAGATAAACACAGCATGACATTGATATCAGACTTAGAGAGGCAAATTATACGAGGCACTCACTTATAGAATTGTTGCTGATATTGTTGTGATATCGATCGTTGGTGATAATTGTAAACATTAAAATACAAATAAATACTCTTATACGACACTGATACATTAACTATCATTGTAATCATTATATAATCAATACTCCTTTGATTTGGTTAGAAGATTGTTATGGCAATATATCCTGATTCTGATCCGCTGGATTTTCTCAAAGTTTAGAGAGAAGGTACAGTTTGGCCTGTATTGTGCCCTAAAAAATTTATTTTTTTAAAAAAAGTTCTGAAATTGGTTTCAATATGAATTGAATAGATGAATGTGATAAATCATTAAAGAATATGACTTGATGGATGACCATTCTGGAAAAATGACGTCATTAATATGGTACATTTCTAAGTTTTATTCAGAGTGGCTGATTTGATCAGCATTTGTAGCTAATCTGTTCCAACTATCTGAATATTAATGAAATTCTACTTCAAAGTTTAAATATTTTCTTTCCTCTTAATACAAGTACTACTACTATTATACATGTATATCTTGGAGTAATAATTATTTTGTGATTGTCTTGTACTCACAAAATTATTCATGAAATAAGGTATTTAAATCCTATATTATTTTATAGACATACCTTAAAACGTTAGTGTTTTTAAAGTAAAATAATTACAAACAATATTGTAGTTTTTAATCAAGTACAAGACATGGGGTTTAAGCCATTTTTTTCATTACCGATATTAAAGCAGCAATTTTTTTTGCATTTCAATCTATAAAATGTTTTGGCCCTAAACAAGTCACAATTTTTTTTCTTTCATGTGTTTTTGCAGAAAACATAATAATTATTGTGACTAGAATAGACTATAAAATCTCCGGGATATTTGATTTATCTTTACACTTGTTCATTTTGTTTATGTGTGTTCAAGCCTGTTCAAGTCTTTCTGTGTGTTCTTTTTTAATTTTTTATTAACCAGTGTTGTTCTTAAGATTTAGCTTTTGAAAGTACAACTTTGATCTACATGTATAGTTTTCAGAAACATAAAATTTAAGCAATTTAGGATTAGCTCGGTTTAACCGGAAGTAACCTCAAGTGATAAAAAATGAGGTTGGGTATCTTTGAAAATGTTACTCATCCAATTTTACAACAATGTCTAAAACTTCAGTCTTTTTTTTGACTAAATCATTTATAAAAATTCCAAATTCTGCTAGCGGTTATTCAATTTATACATATAAGATCCCCTTTTAAGTAGTTAATTCTTTTTAAAAAGTAATATTTACATTTGCAAATGCTTTCCTTTATATAACACTACTGAAAGCAAGCGTTTTTATAACTGTATAAATACAGGTACGGGGTCAAGAGGTCATAGATGTGCGTTTGGATAAACGTTCGACGTAATCTCTCTGTAACGTCATAAAGGATCGACGCGAGTTTAGTGGATTACAAACATGCCGTTGGGTTTGAAAAATAACGCATTTCGCACGTTAAAAGTAACAATCAGGTAAATTTAAAGTACGAATAAGTCACAAATGTAAATTTAAGTAATAAGGTATCATTTTTTTAGTTTTATTGAGATGTAAAATGGGTTAGCACATGATCAAATCTTCCATAAAGCCCCTCGGGCTTTATGGAATTTGATCACGTGACCAACCCGTTTTACATCTCAATAAAACTCGAAAAATGATACCTTATTTCTTAAATATGATTTCAGATTTAAATATTTTAATACTAGTATTCCCATAAATCAAGTTGGATTTGAAAAAATATAACCTTATATATATATATAAGATTATATATATATATATATATATATATATATATATATATATATATATATATATATATATATATATATATATATATATATATATATATATATATATATATATATATAATCTTATGAATACTGAATTTCTAAACTATATGAAATCCTTGCAAAACAGAGATAACTAGTGCTAATTGTAACGGGGACCGTTACAGATGTTCCCCAAACGCTCCCCAACTCCCTTTTGGTGCCATATTCCCTGTGAGCTTCATTAAATAAGACAAACTCTATGCGTTTGAGACTTTAACAACGTTTACCCAGAAGTGTACCAATTTTATTCAGATTTTAGCATTGCACGCGTGCGCATGTGAATGCACGTACGTTATGACCATATAATCTTGTCTTCACAATCTTTAGATTTTAATATACTAAATATCAAAGTATTTAATCCAAAAGTATTAAAAAAAATACGCTAATTCAAGTGTATTTTTTATTTTACTAATTTCACGTGCACGCAAGTGCTGACATGAGCATGGTGACCATACTTCCTTGTAGAAGTCCATTACATCTATCTATGTTCTAAATCCCACCCCGTTTGGTTGAAAACCAAGGGAGTTATAGCTGTTCAAAGTTTCAGCCAATCAGATTGCAGCGCACGTACATGCACGTGTATGCATGTGCATGATGACCATGTCTTCTTGTAGAGGTCCATTATATCTATCCATGTTCCAAATCCCATCCTGTTTGGTTGAAAACCAAGGAAGTTATAGCTATTTAAAGCATAAGCCAATCAGATTGCAGCGCATGTGCATGCACGCGTTTTCATGATAATTGCTATATATTTCATTGTAGGATATCTTAATACATGCCTATATTTAAAATTTCAAAGGATTTCGTCAAAAAACAAGAAAGATATTGAGACTTTAGTTTCAGCCAATCAGAGCAAAGCGCACGTGCATGCGCGTGAGATCTTGCTTTTTTGACCATGTCATCTTGTCTATGCTTCTAATATATACTTCTAATATGAATTTTAAAGCATATCATCAATAATTTAAATAGTTACGCCTGTATCAATTATATTGGGTATTTCTCGTGTTGCACGTGCGAGCTCTTGCAAGCACACGTGCATGCACATGCTTTCATAATATTTCTTTTATTACGGGCTGTAGATCTCCCTAATGTATGACTTTGTTCAAAATTTCAAATGATTTTATCAAAAAACAAGAAAGATATTGAGACTTTAGTTTCAGCCAATCAGAGCGAAGCGCACGG